CGGGGCACGAACCCGTGTCCCCGGTCCGGGAAGATCCCACATGCCACGGAGCGGCTGGGCCCGTGAGCTATGGCCGCTGAGCCTGTGCGTCCGGAGCCTGTGCTCCGCAACGGGAGAGGCCACAACAGTGAGAGGCCCGCGTACAGCAAAAAAAAAAAAAAAAATCATAATAGCACCTACCTCCCTATTGTACAGAATAAATAAGACAGCATATGTAAAGAACCTGGCATATAATATATACCCAATAAATGTTATCTCATTATTACCGACCCCACGCAAACCTGTTCCTCGTCTTGTACTTGTGGATTGCATCACTGCCCAGATACTCAAGCTGGAAGTTTGGGGATGGTCCTTAACAATGCATTTTTTCTTGCTCCCAACCCCTCTTCCCATCCAACCCATCACAAACACCTATAAATTCTATTTCTTAATGTTTTGGAAATTGTTGCTGCTCAAAGTGTGGTCTCCAGACCAGCAGCATCAGCATCATGTGGGGGTTTGTTTGGAAGGCAGCATCTCAGGCCCCGCCCCAGACCACTGATTCAGGGTCTGCATTTTAATAAGATTCCCCAGTGGTTCATATGGATATTAAACTTTGAAAAGCACTGTTTTATTTGCTTTTTTTTTAGTTGAGGTATAATTGACACACGACATTACCTGCCCTCCTCACCTGCCCTCCCCTGTGCTCCAGCCGGACTAGGCAGCTCTCAGTTCTTTCCTACCTTTCAGCCTTGTAATATGTCCTCTCTTCATTCTTCCAGTGTTTATGGACATTTAAAGTCACCGTATTATCATGGCATGATGCATCTGGCCAATAACGTTTCTCCAGAGAACTTCTCTTGATTGGTTCTGTGGTCACTAAGCTACCTTATGATTAGAGTTTGGCTTCATTTGTGGGTTTTGACAGGGAAAATGCACTGACCAGGAGACAGCCCTGTTTAGGTCCTTTGGCAATTACTGTTCCCTCTAAGATGGGATTTAGATATACATCTGTCTCTGCTGAGTCAGGCTGGCGTGAGACAGGCCCATAGGGGACAATCATCTAGCTAGACTGACAACAACAGATTTCCAGAAGCACAGAGCTGAGAACCTGAGAACGAGGCTCTGGAACACTGTGAGACCATGCTAAACCACTATCTAAGCCTAAGACCCTGCTTAGATGGCCAGCTGGCCACCTGGATGTCTTCCTTATTGTCTCTCTGGAGTGGTGACAGTTCACAGATCTAGAATCTTAGAAAACAATGGATATCTGTTATTTTTTGCCTGCCCAGCATTGACCCCTTCTCCTTCTGGTAGCAACAATCCGGTTTTTCTTTGGTGAACTGTCCCTTTTACACCCTTATGTGGTTTGCAGGGCTGGCCCCACCCCCAAGTCAAGAGTAAGAATGTGATCCAGGGCTCCACAATCAGAGTCACAGACGCTGGTTTAAAGGATGGGTATGAGACCTGATCCAGGCCATTGAAACTCAGCCCAGACTTTTTTTTTTTAATTATTTATTTATTTATTTATTTACGGCTGTGTTGCGTCTCTGTTGCTGCACGCAGGCTTTCTCTAGTTGCGGCAAGCGGGGGCTGTTCTGCATTGCGGTGCACAGGCTTCTCACTGTGGTGGCTCCTCTTGTTGCGGAGCACGGGCTCTAGGCTCATGGGCTTCAGTAGTTGCAACATGCGGGCTCAGTAGTTGTGGCTCGCAGGCTCTAGAGCACAGGCTCAGTAGTTGTGGCGCACGGGCTTAGTTGTTCCGTGGCATGTGGGATCTTCCCGGACCAGGGCTCGAACCCATGTCCCCTGCACTGGCAGGCGGATTCTTAACCACTGCACCACCAGGGAAGCCCAGCCCAGACTTTTAAAATATATATATTTATTTATTTATTTGACTGCACCGGGTCTTAGTTGTGGCAGGCGGGATCTTTGCTGCCATGTGCGGGAACTTTAGTTGTGGCATGCTGACTCTTAGTTGCAGCATGCAGGCTCTTAGTTGCGGCATGCGGGATCTAGTTCCCTGATTAGGGATCAAACCCGGGCCCCCTGCATTGGGAGCGCGGAGTCTTACCCACTGGACCGCCAGGGAAATCCCTCAGCCCAGACTTCTGCAGAAACAATTGGGAAAGGAGTGCTCTCCTTCTGCCCGGGTGCCAGGGCAGGGAGTATGAGTCTGGGGCCAGACATGCCACCATGTGAGAACTGCCCTCTGAGAATGAAGCTGAGATGGGGAAAGCAGGGTCCAGAGATGGAGACAGTTTCCTGATGACAGAGTTCGAGGCTGTATTCAGCTGAGCCTGGACTTTACAGGTTCATGAGACAATATATTCTCTTTTTTTAACTGAAATAAATTTGAATTTGGATTCTGTCACTTGAAACCACAAGAGTTTGTGACTAATACACGACCCAACTAACTCCCTTTTTTGCAAAAATTGCTCAGAGTCATACAATAAATCACTGGGACATGAATCAGAAACTCATGAATGATGAAACAAGAGAAAAGAACTGGCAATGAGCCTTGAAACTAGCTAAAGATAGAGAGATAACTGAATAAAAACACTCAGTAGAGACCGATGCTGATAAGTTGAAATAATGTTGTTGCTATAGTAACAAACAAAATGCAAAAGGAAAAAAATTGAGAAAGAGGATTTTTTAAAATAGGGGGTTTGGGCTTCCCTGGTGGCACAGTGGTTGAGAGTCCGCCTGCCGATGCAGGGGGCGCGGGTTCGTGCCCCGGTCCGGGAAGATCCCACATGCCGCGGAGCGG